TTGCTCAAAAATCCCTCACAACAACCTGCTATTTGGATAATCTCTTGGTAAACAATCATATAACAAAAAAAAAAAAAGTGGAGCTGAGTTCGACGGAACCCAACAGATCTAGATTTGGTGGAACCCAGGCTGGGTTCCGTCGAACCCAGCAGATCTGGGTTTGGTGGAACCCAGGCGGGGTTCTGTCGAACCCAGCAAATTGGGTTCGATGGCCTCAGCTAGGTTCCCTTAAACCCAGCAACACAGAGGAAGAAGAGGAAGAAAGAAAAAGAAAAAAAAAAACAGAAAGGAAGAAGATGGATCGAATTTTTTTATTTTTATTTTTTTAAAATATAAATACTAATCATATGAGTTGGCATGAGCTGTCATGAAAAAAAATTCCACATCAACACTTTTTAAATTTGTTTTCGCCATGTCATCAAAAAAATTATAAAAAATACCACATGGGCGAATTAACGATCTAAATTAATAAAAGGACTAATGGAGTGCATTTCTTAAAGTTTATGGATCATAAAAGTGCAAAAAATTATTGAAGGATAAAAAATGTGCAACTCACTAAAATTAAGGGACCAAATTTAACATTTAACCTTTTAATAGCTATCTTTCTCTCACAACCATATTAGACGTTAACCAGTTGACTTAAGTGTTGGTCTTGCACAGGTGTGGTTATGGTGACGCCTCATGATATCGAGGTTATATAATTTTGTTTAATTCAATTATTATTAATAATTAATAATTAATAAAATAATTAACATTTATTATTTAATAAATTAAAATGAAGTTATAAATTAATATTTTTAAATATTATAATTAATTATTTAAAAATTATAATAAATTAATAAAATATTAATCAAATTAAATAACATTTATATAACGTTAACAAAAATAATAATGTGTAACATTAGCTAGACCCATGTTGCACGGAAAGAGTGTTAAGCAGTGAAAGACTAGAAAAATGTTTGTGGACTCTTGTGGACTCTTGACTTTAGAAAAATGTTTACACGGCATTGACGGCAACTTCCTAGTCTTGTGGACCCTTGACTATAGAAAAATGTTTAGTCGGTTTTGCAAGGAAAAAGTGCTTTTCCATCTGTCTCAATTTAGTTGTTTTATTGAACTTTTGAATGTAACTTAAAATTTTTTTTTGTATGATATATTAACAGTAAATGAAAATTTTGTTATTAAACAAAATTATTCAAAAAATTACATATTAAATAAAACATAATTTAATTACAAGAGGTATATTACTTAATAATATCACTTATATTTACATATAAAAATTTTACAAACAATTATAATTTGATCTGGAGGTAGCAGTAAGGAAAAAGAGACCATAAAGACTTCCAGTCATGGCGTTAATCACCAGGACTCGAGTGATAAAAAGTGAAAGAGAAAAATATATTGCTTTAATTATTGGCCACATAATCCACACATAATCTTTGGCGTAACTTGAGCGAAAAGCCTTTGTGCCGTTCATGGGCCGGAGACCATAACTTAGGTCTTGTCTGGTAGTGTTGATTTGTAGTTGTATTATTTTTGTTTTAATATTTTTAAATAAAAAAAAATATAAAATTGATAGCTTTATTTATATATTTTCTTATAACCTAAGTCGCTGAACTAACACATTTTCACACATAAATCCCTAAATTATTTTTTTTATCCTTATAAACCCCTTAATTTTAGGATTTAAGCAAATTAACCCTTTGTTAACGGTTTCCACACTTCCCAGTTAAAAATCTGATCACGGCAGCCAAAGGGAATGGTTAAATCATAGTTTAGTCTATATTTTTTTTATACATTTGATAATGATGATTTACATAAGGGAAAAATAGCACTTCTCTTTCTCTAATTCTTTTTATTTGACTCAAAATTTAAATTTGAGATTTTTAAATTAGAATTTCAAAATTTTAACTATTGAACCACCCAGAGAATAGTTTAATCTATATACTTGCAAATTTCAAAGAAAATTAGTTTATATAATTACAATATGTTTGGATAGAAAAGAATAAAAAGGAGGAAATTTTTTTTTATCTGAATATCAAAAAATTAAAAAGGAAAAGAAGAAAAAATTTATTTATCTATTTAGATAAAAAAATAAATGAAGAAATAAATTTTTTTTAATTAATTTCTTTATTTTTTTTAATCTAAACATACAGGTAAACTAATTTTATTAAAAAATTTATAACAAAAATAAAAAAGTATCGGCCTATTAGCACACATTTCAAAAACCCATCATGGTTTTCATCTTTCAAGAAATTAATTGAAAATCATACACTACAAGAAAAATGATTTTTGGTGACAGAAATTTGTGATGAATTTTGAAATCATCACTATAACTTATCACAATTGTGATAGATCTAAAAAAATAGTCACAGATGCATACATATTTAATGATAAATAAAAAAATTCATCATAGAAAATATATTTCGTAAAAAAAAATATTCATACAGATAAAAATAAGTTTTTGTCGATAAAAATCATCACTATAATGCATTACAATTATGACAAAATTTTAATATTGGTCACATATACCTCACACATTCAATGATGACCAAATAATTTATCACTAAAAACTATCAATTTTCTCTAATCAATACATCCCACATCGATAAAAAAAATATAAGTGAATAAGGTTTTACACTACAAATATATCCCACATCGATAAGAAATATTTAAGAAAATAAATTTTTGCATTATAAAACATGTGAAACTAAAAAAAACTTGAGATTAGTTTGGGCTTGATTAATTTTAATCGGGCCTGATTAATTTTAATCGAGCTTGATTAATTTTAATCGAGTTTGATTAATTTTAATCAAAATTAATTAGTATTGAAATAATAATATTTTTATTAAAATTTTGTGTAAATTTATATATTATTTTTTTGTGACAATTTTTGTTAAAATATTTGTATTGTAATTATATAAATATCTTTTTTATTTAATATCAATTTTAATAATTAAT